AATTCAATTAGAGGCGACGGTTTCTATGGCTCTGCTGCTATCGCTAACGAAGCCCCAGGCCCCAATAAAACAGGCTACTGCAGCACTGTATGTATAGGCCATTTGAATAGGAGAATATAGAGAATAGGAGTGAGTAGATTAGAAGTGTTTTGTTCATTTTGAATGCGGGATGAGTAAACATGGGGCAGATTTCATGGGGGAAAAGTTAATCAGCATAATAAGTGTTTCGCAAGTTGATTTGAAAGTTGTTGAATTTTATAGGTTCTTCTAACATTAAAACAGGGTCCTCATCCAAAACAAACCTGTGGTTGCCTTTAGTTCAACTTAAATGATGAAACTAAAGAAGATATTGTCAGAAAATGTTTGATTTAAGCAGAAAGCATCTCAAAGAAAACGGTTGTTCGGGTCTGGTCTGAAAGCCTGGACTTCATTCAGTCTGATTGATCCAGAGGTAAACCGATCCACCACCAACTTTTAATAACATTTTAACCCTTATTTATCTTGTTTTTAATATTCTGTGAATTATTATTGGTGACTTTATATTCTTGTCTATCTTTACTGTGTTTTTATCTCTTTTTATAACTACTATAATCATGTCATGACATTTTCATTCCCGTTATTTGTCCATTTCTGGGTCGGAGGGGGGGCTGGCAATGAGAACTGCTCCGTCATCGAAGACATGGCCTTGGTCTTTCAGTGGGGGTCTTCAGGCAAAGCGGGTTAAGTGTTTTGCCAAGGGACACAAGAACAATGCTCTACCAACTAAATGTATGTTTTCCTGCATCGTCCATTCTAACTAAATACCTTCTGAAATTAAGAGAATACATTCCGTATGTACAAACTTTTATCATCTCATATAAAAAAAATAAAAATCACAAATATCGGTTTTCAGCCATAACAAAAAAAATCATATTGGATATTGGCCAAAATGTTCATACCGGTGCATCCCTAAATAAATACTTTGTTCCCTGTTTTGTATAAGCCCCATAACTTTCTGAGTTGAGTTGCTAACTGAGTAGCCCGACTCTCGCCAGAACCTTGTAGTTCCGCCATGCTCCACCAGAGGCATTTCGCTGAACACAAGGGTCTGGTATTGAGCGCGTAGCAAACTCCTTCAGCAGATTAGAAAATAATCGACCATTCAGGATTGCCGGTAAAAGCCATCCAATTGGCGTACTTGAAGTCTGTGAATTTTTCTAAAAGTTCAAATACGAACAAATTAAGACACGGATGTCACTTTTAATGCAATATGAGGCGAGATGTTGATGGTTCTATGTTGTTATATGTGTGTTTTAAGTGTCAAATGTTCGTGTAAAGTTTGGTTTAAGCACTGGTGTTCCTGTTTACAAAACTATGCAGCAGGGTTGCCAGGTTGGGTGGCACTGGTTTTCCGCATACTTTTTTTCAAGAGACTTGGAGGTAATAAACAGAAAGATAATAAACAGAATCATGATAGCCCAAGTTGATTAAATTACTTTTTTAGCCAAAAAAATCATTCTGGGTGTTTTTCTTTTGGGCATTCTCGCAGGTTTCGGGTTGGAAAATCTCTCCGGCATTTGGCAACCCATGGGAGTCGTGTGCTTTGATGTGAGTTGTTGAAGGAAGACGTCATTCAAGATAACGGACAGGTGGTTTATCCAATCACATACAAGAATTTTTTGTAGAAGGCCCCGCCTTCTGAAATCCAACTGCTATGGCTCAGATCCAGATGTGAGAGGCTACTAACTGAGGGTGCTTTCACATCTGCACCATTTAGTCCACTTAAAACGGACTGGAGTCTGGAATAGATGCAAGTACGGTTAGTTTGAGCAGGTGTGAAAGTGGACCAGTTAAATTTGGTCTGGACTAAAGAACCGCACAGAGACCACCTTATGGAGCTGGTCTCGGTGCGGTTCCATGTGGACTCCTGTACTGTTCGCTGCTGGTGAGAACACTGACCTGCCTCGATATGGCCCTGCTCTGTTGCGTAGCTCACTTTTTGGTCTACCAAAGCATCCATTGCATGAAAGCATACACAAAATTATTATTCTACTCATAGCATGTACATGTAGGTATTGTCATGGTTTAGTGACACTAGAATATGTAGGTACAGTGACAACATTGTGTTTTTTTTATTTAATAGAATAGTCAATATTTGGTATTGCAATAATCAATAGTGAATAACTGATGATTCTCCGTTTATCCCCCGTCCATTTCCCTTGGTTCACCTTTGTTTAGTGTATGGCGAATAGACCAACATTTCCCTTAACCCTACATGATGAGAGGAACATAATCTTACCGGATAAAATTCCGAAAATGCCTCCTGAAGAGAAGTTGGTTCATGTTTAGCAGCTTAGCTCTTTTTCGGAGATAGTGTTTAGCAACACGTCGTCTCCGCTCTAAAAACAGCAACAGAGGGTTCTGGTGCTGAATCCGTGATACATCCTGGAACAACTGCAGTATTTGTGCTGCACAAAGCAATGATGATTAAAAAAAAATAGCCACAAACGCAAGCAGAGAAGCACAGTTCATAGTTGAAGATTTGACCAGTTTGTTTTGTTCCGTGATTTTTCCCTCTTCACATCCTGCGCCAATCAGATTTCACCTACGTCATCCAATTCCAACACGGTATTCTGTGAACAGTGCCACCACATAGGTGGCAGAATATGTAACATCCACAGTGGTTGGTTCATTTGCAAAAACACTGGTGTGAATGAGAACCGAACTAGTTGAGAACTGCAACATTGTAACAACTTAAGGGCCCAATCAAACCACTTTACTGGACCAGCAGGTGTGAAAGCACCCTGAGACGTGAGAGACCGACCAACAACCCCTGAGCCATAGGCGTCATATATCATCAGAGCAGAAGCAGCCAAGTTCACCATTTCAACCACTTCCAATTACACGCCAGTCTTTGTGCCAAACGGAAACAAAAGCCCCATTTTAATCATAGTCCTCCAACAATCTGCCCCGACTACATCTCAGCTGTTCAAACACCATCAATAATACACCACGCCGAAGCCAAACTCTGCATCATTTCTCATTCTTGTCTTCCGGTGACGACGCGAGAGAACAAAAACAGCCCCGAGTTTGAAAACATAACAAATCTATCGCTGGAACCGACAACTCAGGCCTACCGTTCTACCGCGGAGGTAGAATATCAACTCAACAGGGAAAATACTGTGTACTTTATACTTTACCATTGGTCTGTTAGGGATCCTTTGCGAATGTTACACTGTGGGAGAACCTTATTATAAAACCATTCTGTTGATTAATTCAAATCAATTCCATGTGTTTGTGTAATGAGATTGCAACAGCAGTCGTCGCGGAAGACTTCACAAAGGTGTCAATTTAAAAAGAACAGATCAGAGAATCAAACAGTTCGAACTCAGGAAATGCAATAATAACACATAGGAGCCAGACTAGACTGAGACCAGAGAGGGAGACCAGAGAGAAACCAGGGAGAGACCAGAGAAAGAGAGACCAGAGACAACTCAAAGAGACCAATGGACCAATAGAAGAAATTGGTCCATAATGATGATCACAGTCCATAAATGTCAATAAAAGGTGCTATTTATGTGCTATCACTATTGCAATGTTTATCAAAGGGACTGCAGTTAGGTATTCAGCTAAAATTACAGTAGTAACAATAGGATTGGTTTTAAAGGCACTAAAAGCACTACTACAGAAGCCACAGCTGCCCCCCCACCACCACCACCAACTTTTCATACACACCAGACTCATTCTTATGTGGGGGAAGTCTCCCATCACAGTACTTATAGGGCCCTGCCCTATTAGACAGGATCAAGCTTTCACACGTGTGACGTGTAGTAGTAATGGTAGTTTTTTCTTGGAATGAGAATTCTGCTGTTCTGAGCTTCTTAATCTATTGGCAAAAGTCATTTAATACTTTTTTTGTTATGCTAGTTAGAGATTTTATTTTAGTACAGAGTTATTGTTCATTTATTTTGCCTCTTGCCCAGTGATGCAACACGGACATTTCCTTGTGGGACAAATTATGGATCTCTTCATCTTAATTTCAAAATGTGATTGTTCTCTGGTCAACTATAAATATAACTAATAGTGACAACCCAAGATTTGTTATGAAAGTAACTTAATGTAATGTTTTTGATCAGCTCATCACAAAAAATGTATATTAAATATATAAAAAACATGGAGGGGTAGAGCTATCAGTCTAAACACTATTACTACAACTACTACTACTACATTGCAGACCCACTACATAATAATGTCTTTGCATAAAATGCTTCAGAATGCAGCAATAGTAAAGCTATAGCTGCATTCTAACCCACACATTGAAATACAAATCTTATAATGTGTTTGTCCTGTAGTGATGTCAGAATACTAACTTTCTAAACTATGATAATCCTGATGCTTAATACTAATTTCCTGTATGATCACAAACTGTAATTTAATAACATTATGAAAACATAATAGTACTTTTGGGAGTAACCACTATTCTGAAACAACCTATTCAATCAAACGCACTATTCCAGACAACTGTAGAGTTCACACATACTGGTAATATTGACTTATTTAATAAATTTGTCTTTTTTAATACAGGAAACAAAACACAGCAGCAATATGTGTGTATATCGTTTCAGATTTTACATATAGTCACATTTCAACCAATCAGACATCTACATTTTAAAGTGGAAATCTATCACTTTAGCCCCGTTTCCACCAGCCCTACTTGACTCGACTCTACCTGGTTGGGTGTCCGAACCAGTATCCGAGGAAATTCCTTGATAACCATGGCTTGTCAGTTTAAACACTATAGTACCAGCTTGGCCTGGATAGAACCAGGAACTAAAGAAGGATTTGGTTTTGGTTAGACAGTGCTGAGTAGAGTAGGGCCAAGTAAGGCTGGTAGAAATGGGGCTTTATTACACATTTACAAGCGATATGTCACTAGTGGCTAGTGCTTGGGCCTCCATTCAATTGCATCCAACCAATTCTGCATTCTGTCACTCCCTTTTGAGATGTTTCTGAATACTCACTTTCCAATGACCTCGCATAGCTCGTAGACATCCTCAAAAAGCACGTCGTCGTCCGCCATGGTTAGGTCCACAGGTGAAAAAGGTTTGAAGAAATTCCTTTATTGAAAAAATAATGAATGGGTAGTTTATCTGATTGACTCAAATTGCAGTCTCCTCTTGATGATGATTGTGCATAAATACCGTTGCCTTTATAATGTCTATATGGTAGGAACTGGTTGCAATCTGATAGTTCTGTTGTCAGTGCTTAGGGAATAGAGAAATAGAAGTGGATATCCAATACAGTTAGCCTGTTAGCCACATTAGCGCTCAACCGCCCCACCTTCCCAACCTTCTACCCCTGCGCTACTGCTCCTAAGCCCGGCCTCCGAAGCAGATAAGACACCATCCAGGGTGGATTTTTCCCCGCGATAGATGACATAAATCGGCTTTCATTGCTAGCTTTCCATCGCTATCTCATCACATCCTAGTAGTAGTAGCGGGCAGCCGCAGCATCCGATGTAACCGTAAGATGCTCTGCTGAAAAATGGCCAGGTCGGGATGGGTTGGCAAAGGGAAAAAAACGTTTATAAGAAGCAGTTTAACGCTATAATAGGAGGTCTTGACTCAAGATTGCTGATAGCGCTAGTTATATCCCAGGCGAAATGACACCACGCTTTGGCGGTGCTCAAGCTCCTCCGAGTCCGGGCGAAGCTGCATCATGTCGGCGACCTGCTCCTTCCTGACACGGCTGCCTTTTCCCCGCTTTTCACGCAGAAATTGTCACCGTTCGTAAGCTCCAGCGCCTCGGATGGATGCACAGATGCTTGCTGTGAGACTGCCTACCCCCGTACGGCTTCCACGAACCCGCGGCTCCTCCCTTCACAGCTCCGGGGGGAAACTAGGCGCCAGCATGGGTCCCGGTGTGGAGTAGCCTCGTCGTTGATTTCTATGGGGTTTTGAGCCAAGATGGCGGCGATGCGAGGGGGTGATTTAGGCGCAGTTTCCTAATCGGGTTTTCTCTGCTATAACGGTTGTGTCTAGTGTCCTCCCTCCGCGCATGCGCAGACTTTCCAGACCCCATCGCCTTACGTCAGCCTTTGCTTCGTCTCCATCACTGAAAAGAATAAATATATTACACATTCTACTTGCGAATTTAGAAATATTCATCATATTTTAATTAGTCTATTTTCACTGTATTTATTTGACCATAGTAATGCTTTATTATGACTGTCAAAAGTATAAATATATTGGCTACTAAAGCTGGTGTACTCAACATTCTAACCACCAAAAAATTTATTCATGTAATAAAATCAATTAATTTAGTTCCTCGCTGTAAAACAGATTATTTTAGTAGTTTTCACTTGCACTACACTACTACTACTACAACATCCACTAATAACTACAAGATACCTTTATTGTACATAAGCTAAATTTTATCTTGTATCTTTTTGCAACTGTTTTCGTCTATTTGCACACTCTGAGTGATCTTATGCAAGATGCAACATGTAACTGTATTTATTGTGAGATCAATACATTTCTATCTTATCTAATCGTATCCTACTGCTTACAGCTACCATACTACTCTTACCACTACTATTATACAACTGAATGGTTGTCGCTGTGCAAAACAATGGTTCTTTCATTAGTTTTCACATGTGTGTATTTTTCACATGTGTGACCAGCTTCTTCAGCATGAATGACTACTACAATGATATATTACTGCTTTTACTGTACACCACTTGCATGTGAAAGTCTGATCCAATCCAAAGCCAAGCATGTTAGTATCGTGATGGGAGACCTCTGGACAGCAGGTAGGCTGTGAAGTGCCAAACTGTCGTTGTGTCCTTAGGCAAGACACTTCACCCATATTATAATCAGTCTGGTGTGAGGGATTGGTGGATTTTGGAAGGGCCGATTGCACAAACTGGTTAACTCGCTTCTGTCAGTCTTTACCCCTTTGAGTGTCTAAAAAGAGCACTGTGAAAAAAAAGATCAGATAAACCTTTATTTGTCCCATAGTTTCATGTCATAGTTGCGCACATTACAGAAGAATAAAATGAGAACATTTTTGCACACATGAAACATGATCTATCTAAGATAAAATATATTAAAAAAAAAATAAGTAATAAAATAATAAAATAAAACTCTAGAGCTACAATTGCACTTGGTTCAAGAATAAGTACATTAAGGTTTACAATGAAAACTTAACTGACTTTAAAGTGCATTATAAGTATAATAATGTCCGTTCAGTCAATAGGGCTGAAAATAACCGCAAATAAACAACTGATGTAAACCACAGAAACTACATTCAGATACAAACACGCGGCCGTGCATCTATTATCGGGTTGAGCTCGTCAGTCCTTCACAAGAAGGCGCTGTTTCCCACACACAGCAGTCCATCAGTTTCCATGGCGAAGCTCTTCTCGCTCGTCCCTGAATGATTCCCCAGCACATTGATATAACGCTAAACATTAATCATACATCATATGACAACATAAAACATCAAGAAACAAAAAAGTTAAAATTGAAACATTTAGTGTCACATGTCTCATATATAAGATAGCAGACATAGGGCCAGTTTCCACCAGCCCTGCTCTGCTCTCTTCTCTGCTCTACGTGAATCCACTCGACTTTGTTCTGCACTAATTTACTCTACTGTAGTTGACTCTACTCTCCCCGAATTGGGAGCATTTCCACCGCTATAGTTTAACCAGTAACATGTCCTTCTTTAGTTCTTCTTGGCTCTGGATCTATCCAGGCCACGCTGGTACTAAAGTGAACTAACTGACAGCACTTTGGCTGGTAGAAGCCATGGTTACCAAGGAATTTTCACAGCTACAGGTTTGTTGTGGGTACGTTGCAAGTATACAGCACCAGATAATAAAACATAGTGGAAACAACCAGGAAGAGTAAAGCCAGGGTTATACACTGTACCAGACACGCTGTACTTCAGCATTTGATTTTCCAAACAGCTTATGGAGTTGGAGTTCGGTAAAGTTCAGGCTGGCATCCTGTCCCATCACCATCCTCCACTATTGTCTCATGATGTGACATCACATCAGGGTGCACCATTGTCCAAACTTACCACTGGACAACTACCACATAGCAAAAACTAAGATAATATATCTTATTATTCGTCCCACAGTGGGGAAATTTTGTTGTTGTAGTGCACATACAGGACAGTAGAGCACACAGGGATCACACAATATATACAAAATTAGCAGTAGCTATGTTTCTTAACTAGCATAACTGGCTATAGATGCTGGAAATGCTTCAATACCAGTAAACAAATATATACATGTAGTAGTAGTGCAGTTATATACTGTACAGTTAAATAGTGCAGGATAATAAGTAGATGAGGCAGGATAATAAGTAGATGAGGTAAAGTGACATTCTGAAGGAGCAGTATTGCACATTGCACATGATTTAAGAATTTACTTATTTACAGATGAATGAAATTTACAGGCTCAGCAGTTCTTATTGTACAGTCTGACAGCAGCAGGAAGGAAAGACCTACGGAACCTCTCCTTCACACAGCAAGGGTGAATTAGTCTGTCACTGAAACTGTTCTCCAGAGCAGAGAGAGTGTCCTGCAGGGGGTGATAGTCATGGTCCACATAGATGTTAGTTTGCTCAGGACCCTCCTGTCCCCCACCTGCTGCACTGTGTCCAGGGAACAGCCCAGGACTGAGCTGGACTTCCTGATGACCTTGTCCAGCTTCTTCCTGTCCCTCTCTGTGATGCTGCTGTTCCAGCAGACCACACCGTACAAGAGGCTGATGCCACCACAGAGTCATAGAAGGTCTTCAGGAGTGGCCCCTGCACTCCAAAAGACCGGAGCCTCCTCAGCAGGTAGAGCCGGCTCTGGCCCTTCTTGAAGAGGGCGTCTGTGTTATGAGTCCAGTCCAGTTTGTGGTTCAGATGAACACCCAGGTAAGAGTCCACTCTCTCGATGTCCCTTCGCTGGATGTTCACTGGAGCTGGAGCGGCAGAGTGACGTCTGCGGAAATCCACCACCATCTCCTAGCTGTAGTCTTGTTCCCACCAGGCCGCAATAGCGACCTTGTTTTTCATCCTAATGCATCAAGACTTGGAGAAACACCAGTTGAAACGGTCTATAATCCATCTGAGACCAACATTTAGTTTGGTGGAAATTCAGTGTCCGAATGTTCTAGAGCAGCCATTCCCAAACTCAGTAACACCGAGGCCCCCTTAAAAATCTGACGGGTCTGCGTGGCCCCCCAAAATAATAACCAAGAAGACAACATTAAGAATAGGCTCTTCTGGTTATTTTATTTTGCGGAAATAGCCTCTGCTACAAACATTGTAATACAAAAATGATTACAGTGGATTATTCAAGTCAAATAATGAACACAAATATTTTAATATTACAAACAAAACATTATAAATTTAATAATTATATTATTTTTTTATTTTTTTTATGACCTCCCGCGGCCCCCCTGCAGTACCCTCGCGGCCCACCAGGGGGCCGCGGACCCCACTTTGGGAGACACTGTTCTAGAGCTATCTGAAGAGGAAAACTTCTTAGTGAAATCTGTGAGAAATCTTTTCTTGGAGAGCAGCTTAGATCAGCCTGCAAAACACTGTCAAAGTCCAACATCTTCAGTCAGAACATACAGTATGCAATAAGGTCTAAAATGTTCTCATAAAAAGGTGTCCAAAAGTGGTTATATTTATCAATTGTCTTTTGTGGATTCTCTAACCTTGCCTGCAAGCTGAATTCTCGCGGTATTTGTGAGTTCACAAACACTCGAGAAACAGCACCATCTGCTGGTGTACTGCTAGAACAACCACATTACACTTACGAATCTTTTTGACACACGTTGAAATCACCAACACAGATTGGAGAATCAACAGCGAAGACGCAGGAAATATTGAACCCATGTGTATTGGTTCATAGAGAAAGACCAATGCCCATGAATGATGATGAATATGCATACAAATTAATATTGATTGCTGGACATTTCGCTGACAGTAGCAGATGGCCAAAATGATGTATATTTGGGGTGGACGTGGTACACCTGCAAACCTTGCAGCTGCTCATGTCAGTGTTGTGCTGTGTTCATTACAAATGTTTATGTTGGTCCAATCATACTGCACACAAGGGAACAATTGTGACATGGAATTGTGACCGAGCAACGCGTAAAACACATGTCCGCAGCGCAGTGACAGAGAAATGCTGCAGAGACGTCTCTGAAAGAGGATCTGGAGATGCGTCAGCAGGTTAATCTGTCGCTGCACCACGTACCAAACCGCGTCCGAGCGTACGATCTATGTGTGTACACAGGTAACAGGAACAGGGTGTACCATTCTATTGCCAGTGACATTGCGTTACAATGCTTTGGAGACAGATGCGGGGTGCGAGTACGCGGACACGCAGGTGGATCTAGCCCACTCTACAAATACAACATGTGTTTGGCCGTCTGCTGTCATCTTTCAGTGACACCCTCTTGCTGCTGTCATGCTTTACACACACACATGTTCGTCCTGTCACAGTTGCATGCTCATTATTAGTCACATTATTGCTCACTCATACAACCCGAACGTCCTTTTCCTGGTCTGTGATAGCGATCACATACAGCATTAATTCCACATGTGATTTCTTTTTCTACATCAATATTTCTTATGACTGTAGTATATGAGAACAATGTGTGAGAGCAGGCGCTGGTCATGTGTTTGTAAATCGCTGTTGTGAGCGTGTTTATTGAATGGAAACACCACAGTCCCACCGCAGCTCCAGGTTAAACTGCGCACCTTGCAGCTGTTCAGGTCAGTGTCATGGGAAACAGTTCGCGATTCACAGACAGTATTTGGAACAGCAACAACACATCTGACTTTACGTTGATTATATGTGATAGCAATCCTTCGTCAGAAACAATACGAGAAAGGAGTCTTTATTTCGGACTTTAGAGATCCCGCAGAGGCAGTGGCCTTTTATTGTGAAAAATGTCTAAGCCACGCCTACTTTCAAGCATTTTGATCGATGAGTAAGTAGAACTCGTTCACCGGGCATCTAGGGACGCAACAGTTTAGAAGTGCTGTCCTCTCTGTTTTGAAGCCGAAATAACGTGATAGCTTTGGATGTCATTACACAGACAAATATACACAAAAACGAAAACAAGAAAAAAATTGGGAAAACGAAAAGAAAGTTGACCAAAAGGGCAAAAAGTCGAGTTGTTTTGGTCATGGATCTACAAGCGGAAGCCATTACAGGAAGTGCGTCAACCGTCACCAATTCAATCGGAAACAGAGCTGCCCGGATTATTGATCCATGGTTAAACTTATTTCGTTATTATAATAGACCCATGGGTTATTTACAGTCTATGGATTGTGCCCATGGATCTATGATTTTGCTGTACAAATGAGCTTGTATTAGGATATACTTACTTGTATGAAGATATGCCCAATTGTCCTGTACCCAATGTATTTATTACTCTGATAAGTATTAAATCAACAAAGAAGTAACTTGCTGCTCCTCTCCGATAGACGGCAGTATAATGGCTGAATCTCGCCTGCTTAACCCAACGCAATTTCAACACCTTTCCGTTCTTTTTTAATTAGTTAGTGGCTCTATTTGCATATATTTGATGCGACGTGTGGAATCAAAACAGTTATTAAAGGCAATTTTAATTATTAACAGTTCAATTCGTTCAGTTAGCGACAGTAATGTTGCTGAGACGTAAAAACATACCCTCGCTCTGATTGGCTGATTCAGGCGCAATGTTTGAAATGACTTCCGCCTTTGTTCTGCTGTGGTTGAAAACACGACATGGAGCAGAAAGAAAACCGGTAAAAACTCATCTTTATATTTTTTAAAAACGCTATAATAATAATAATGAATTGCGGTTGGAATGTGTGTCGTCTTAGTGAATGCAAAGCTAGCTATAAATAAATAACGCTAGTAGATCGTGTTGACAAGACAGAAATAATGAATCATATTGTACCCATGTTCAATATTTAAGATAGATCCTTTAGTCGTCCCACAGTGGGGAGATTTCACTTTCAAGGCGCACAAACAGAGCAGTAGTAAGAGCACAGGGAGCACTCAAAATATACAAAATAAGTAGGGTTAGCTGCTATGTTTCGTAGCTAGCTGTTTCACTATTTGTCTTTCAATCAATCAATCAATCAAAGTTTATTTGTAGAGCGCCTTTCATACACATGGCAACACAAAGCGCTTCACAGTCCACATCACAAATCATCACATAAAACAAACACCAGAATCACAATTAAAACATTAAAATCACACAAAAGATTAAAACACAATTAAAACATTAAAATCACACAAAAGAATAAAACCATTAAAACTTTCAAAATTACACAAGAAATTTAAATAAATAAATAAATGACAGCAGTGCATTAAAAATGGAGATAAAATCCTTCAGTTGTATGCACAGGCAAACAGAACAGTCTTTAACCTGGATTTGAACATTGACAGAGTAGACGCCTCCCTCACATTTTCAGGGAGATTGTTCCAGATCTTAGCTGCATGGATCTGAAACGCAGCCTCCCCATGTTTGGTTCTCACTCTGGGCACCAGCAGGAGGCCAGTCCCTGTGCTCCTCAGAGTCCGGGCTGGTTCATATGACACCAACATGTCACTAATGTATTCTGGTGCAAGGCCATGGAGAGACTTGTACACAAGCAGAGCCGTTTTTAAAATCTATTCTTTGAGCCACAGGAAGCCAGTGCAGAGACCTGAGGACCGGACTAATATGGTCATACTTCCTGGTTCCTGTCAGGACTCTAGCTGCTGCATTTTGGATGTACTGCAGCTGCTTACAGGTCTGTTTGGACAGACCTGTAAGCAGGCCATTGCAGTAGTCTAGCCTGCTGGAGACAAATGCATGGACAAGAATCTCCAAGTCTGCCCTGGACACTATATTTCTAACTTTGGCAATGTTCTTCAGATGGTAAAAAGCTGTTGATGTTATTGATTTTATGTGGCTATTGAAATTTAGGTCTGAGTCCAGTATTACCCCCAAATTTCTGACCTTGTCTGAAGGAAGTAGAGAGAGAGACTGAAGTTGACAAATGACGCCCTCTCTTTGTTTCTGGGGACCAAAGACAATGATTTCGGTTTTGTCTGTATTTAGCTGGAGGAAATTATTTTGCATCCAGTCACTGATCTGTTGGATACAGTGAAGGAGCAAATCCAGTGGTCCATGTTCTCCTGCAGTCAGTGAGACATAGATCTGAGTGTCGTCAGCGTAATTGTGGTAGGACACTTTGTTTCTTTGTATTAACTGACCTAACGGCAGCATGTAGAGATTAAATAGGAGAGGTCCCAGGATCGACCCCTGTGGTACACCACAGGTCAGGGCCACATCATCTGAGACGCAGTCTCCAATCTCCACAGAGTACTTCCTATCCTCCAGGTAAGACCTAAACCAGTCTAGGGCTGTGCCAGTGACACCAGCCCAGTCCTCCAGTCTCTGCATGAGGATCTCATGGTCGACAGTGTCGAACGCGGCACTAAGATCTAACATGACCAAAACTGTGACTTTACCTGCATCAGTGTGAAGTCGAATGTCGTTTGTTACCTTCACTAGAGCGGTCTCAGTGCTGTGGTGGGGTCTAAACCCAGACTGGAACATATCAAAAGAATTATTCATTGTTAAAAATTCAGTAAGTTGTTGGGAGGCCACTTTTTCAAGAATTTTTCCAATAAACGGCAGATTCGATATGGGGCGATAATTTTGAAGTCCCGCAGGATCCAGACTGCTCTTTTTTAGGAGAGGTCTTATGACTGCTGTTTTTAGGGCCATAGGAAATGTTCCTGACGACAGAGACATGTTTACTATTTGTGTCAGTGAAGGTAACAAACTGCTCAGGACGGACTTCAGAAATTTAGAGGGCAATATATCCAGGCTACATGTGGAGGAGCTCAGACTCATGATTATCTTTTTGACAGTTTCAGTATCCACAGGTGCAAAGTGAGTTAGCTCAGAAAGCTTCTCTGGCTGTTGCATTGTTATACGTGCTGTGGAGGTGATAGTGTTTTTGATTCCTTGTACTTTGTCATCGAAAAACTGTGCGAACTCATTACACCTAGATTTAGAGGAAAATTCTAGGGGCAACTTTACAGGGGGGTTCGTTAATCTACCAACTGTTGAAAACATAACACGAAAATTGTTACTGCAACCTCCAATAATGTCAGAAAAATACATTTCTCTTGTTCTACGTAGAACCCGGTTAAATTCACCCAACTCATCTTTAAAGATTTCATAATCGCCCTGGAAATTGGACTTTCGCCACTTCCGTTCGGCCCTCCGGCACTCTTGCTTCTGTGCCCTAACCGAGTCTGCCTTAGTCCATGGGGCCTTTTTCTTACTGGTAACTATTTTAACCGTCACAGGAGCAATGGCGTCCAGAACAGTCAGAACACTGGTGGTGACAGAGTTATACAATTCATCAACAGTAGAGCATGGAGTTTTCTCAAAATTTAGCATTCCCATGAACAGTTCACTTGTGTTTTCATGTATGTGTCTTCTTCTAACAGTTGTAAATTCAGCTGGTGGTTTGCTAGCAAAACACATGTCAAAAAATACACAGAAATGATCTGACAAAGCAACATCAACTACATTAACATTTGATACATTAACCCCCTTTGTAATTAGCAGGTCAAGAGTGTGCCCCCTGCTGTGGGTGGGGCCACTCACGTGCTGAATGAAACCAAAGGTCTCAAATACAGAAGCCAGCTCCTTTGCATTTCTGTCATCAACATTATCAACATGTACATTAAAATCACCTGTAATAACTAAACTATCAAAATCTGTGCACACGAATGAAAGTAGTTCAGTAAAATGGTCAATAAAATCGCAACATGACTGTGGTGGCCTGTACAGGACAATGAAAAGAGTAGAAGATTGCTTTTGTTCCATTTTAAAAGAAATATACTCAAACGATGAAAAATTTCCAAGGGGCATTCTATGGGAGACAAAGTGCTCTCTAAAAACTGCAGCTATGCCTCCCCCCCTTTTGTTTTCTCGTATTTCGGATTCGAATTTAAAATTGGGTGGTGTTGCTTCTATTAGAACTGCATTTCCTGTATTTTGGTCCAGCCATGTTTCAGCCATAAGCATAAAATCAAGATCATAAGAAGTGATAAAATTATTAATTAAAAATGATTTGTTACATAGAGATCTGACATTAAGCATAGCAAGTTTAAAAATAACGTCAGAGTCGATTAATGTGGTTGATTGATTTCTACAGGGAACAGAAATTAGATTTGCAGAGTTGGACCGTCTAACTGCTGTCCTGTTTTGATTTCGTTTTTTAGAATTTAAAAACATTTTTGAGCTGGTGCGAGGAACACACACAGTCTCAATTGGACTAAAATGTGAAAACCCTTGTTGTTCTTTAGCTCCCAGAGTCAGAAGGGAGTCAGCACAGTTCAGTGTTTGGACTGGTAATGCACTGCCAGACGGACAGGGAGCAGTGTTTGCACCGTTGTACTCACCCGGTGCTGGTGAGCAGGAGGCGGGAGAGTGCGGCGGGGTCCGAGGGGGCTCAGATGTAAACTCACGCCCCCCTCGGGGAGCACTGAACAACATAACGTATGTAATCCATCAACAGGCTGCTACCGTATCTGTTTGGGTGTAATCCGTCTGGACGATAGGCTTCGTTACGTTTCCAGAAAAGGGCAAAGTTATTCACAAAGACAAAGTTAAAAGAGCTGCATGTAGCCTGGAGCCACATATGCAGCGCCAAAACACGACTGTAGAGGCAGTCACCTCTGTTTACAGTCTGGATTGGACCAGAAATAAAAACATTCAAAATATCGATGTATATAGCGTTAGTGCAAAGTTATTTAACAGCTACTTATATTGCAGGGTAATAAGTGGCTAAATGCTGAAATGCAGTATTGCACATGATTGCAATATTTACTTATTTACAGATGAATGACATACAGGCTCAGCAGTTCTCATTGTACAGTCTGACCACTGCAGGAAGGAAAGACCTGCAGAACCTCTCCTTCACTCAGCGAGTCTTCAGTATTTTTGTGGGGAAAATTCAGTATATTTTTCCCCCCAGCAATGTGTTGAAAAATAAGCTGTTTACAATAATGTCTTTTTTATGTACAGTACAATTATAATGATACTTTGGCCTGTCACAATGATTACTATATCAACTTATGATTTACACCAAGTACAATATATTTATGGTCAGTATTTATTCTCTTGAAAAAAGTGTGCACTTTTAGGTCTTGGTTATCAATAAAAATCTAACGAATGTCTAATTATTTATCTAATTAACTGGAGATTCACTGATACATCTGATCCTGGTATATCATGATTGATGGTATTGGTTCAGCCTTTTTGTGTGATGTAATAAAAGTATTTACTGCTGGTATTAACCCTGAATGTCAAAGGTCTAAATATTGACTGTTTGGACATGAATTGTTGTTGATCACCCAACACTCCTATAATCCATTATGTTTGTGGTATGATTGCTTAAAGTCCTGGTTCTCTTAGAAGCAGAGGGCCTCGTCTTCTCCAGGTCTTTTCTCAGGACTTCTCGTCTCTCAGGTCTTGTGTGAGACTGACAGATGGTCGGTGCCGTGTTTGCAGTGATGCGATCGCTGTTGTGGAAAAGAGCGCAGTGTCTGCTGTTAGATCTCTGGATTTCCACCCACACCTATGGTCACTTTAGCTTTGGGGAACAACCTAAAAGGATAAAAGGATAAGATGGCAGACACAAGCATTTACATGAGACCACTTGCACACTGCATCAGAGATGTGAGGAGCCTAGAATAAAGCCACTACTCCTCCATGTTGAGAGGAACAATCTCAAGTGACTGTGGGTCTGTTTCAAATGCCTTCTCCAGTTTAGTGATTGTCATCGAAAGAGATGACTTATCTTCTCCATCCTATTGTGTTATTGAAAACCTCCTCCTGTGTCCTCAGACAGAGCGGCGAGCGCACGCCCTGCAGCGTCGCCCTGGTGCAGAGGAGAAGTAAGTCGTACCGTCAGTCATACCGCAGCTGTCTGGGCGCCACATCTCGCCTCTTCACTCCGGGACACGCCACACGGAGACTGAACAGCAGCCGGAGAGCGCCGCGACCGCGAGACATTAAAGTCAGTCACACACAGACACACAATCACACATCAATTCAAACACACAGAGATTCAAAAGTACTGCAAGATGGTCCTGGCTTCGAATCCCATTCGGAACCGGGCCTTTCTGTGTGGAGTTTGTATGTTCTCCCTCTGTTTGCGTAGGTTTCCTCCGGGTGCTCCGGTTTCCCCTACCTCCTGTAGGTGACCTCGCTCCCTGTGTGGATTGTAAAGCACTTTGTGACTCTGATCTGTGAAAGGTGCTATGTAAATAAAGATTACTTGCTTACATACTTACACACATGGTTTTAGATCTAGATATAGACAAATATTTTATTCATTCCAGTAGGATAAATTCAGATCAATCCATATAAACACATAAACACATTCTAAAAGTTATTAACAATAGTAATAGACCCGGACCTAGACCCAAACCAGAAATATGACCTGGACAAAGACCCGGACCAGAAACCAGACCAGGAGCCATACCAGGATGATGACCAAGACGTAAGCCGAGACGTGAGCCGAGACGCGGACCGAGACGCGGACCGAGACCTGAATCAAAACAAAGACCTGAATCACTATAGTGAATGAGATTAAGATTAAGAGATCCTTTATTTGTCCCACACTGGGCAAATTTCAGTGTTGCATCACCACTTACAGAATAGTAGGAACACAACAGAAGATAAATGAACAATAACTCTATAATAAATAAAATAAAATAAAAATCTTTAGCACAATGAGCACAAAAACTCTGACTTTAACATAATAAAGAAGTATAAAATCTCTACCTTTGGCATAATAAGAAAGTATAAAGAATGCATGTAAAAACAAGATGGAAACCAACCGGGGCGACAGTGGCTCAGTTGGTAGAGCATTGGCCTTTGAGCCAGAAGGTCGTGCGTTCAAGCCCATCACAAGACTTTCTACACCGACTCCCACTGATGTCTGCTGTCGGTGTGTCCTTGACAAGACACTTAACCTCTGGGAACACCTGATGCCACAGCGTGGTGGCTGCGGCTGTAAAGTGCCAAACTGCCATGTGTCCTTAGGCAAGACACTTAACCCCCATTGCCTAGAATAAGTCTGGTGTGTGTGTGAATGGTTGGTGGGGGTCGGAGATGGCACATACTGGTTGCCTCGCTTCAGCCAGTGTGCCCCAGGGCAGCTGTGGCTACAGTAGTAGTTTATCACCACCGTGTATGGAGTGAATGAATAATGACATGGAATGAGTGACTTGCATGTGATTCCACAGTGGTATAAGAGTTACGTCCCTCAGCTTTTACCTTGTGTCTCTGCAGGAGCAGCTGGACCCCGGTGTCCTCTCTCTCCTCACAAGGACCGAGTGGCAGTTGTCCTATGTGACGCCGCTGTTCCAGTTCCGCCACACGCGCCTGAAGAGCTACGCGCGGCAGCTGTCGGCGTTCATGGCAGCAGAACGACAGCAGGGCGTGGCCGTGGAGGTGCAGGGGGAGGAGCATACCTACAGAGGGCGCTTCAGCCTCCTGCCCGGCCTGGTGGAGGGCGAGGGGGAGGCAGAGGCAGTGCTCATACAGGTGAGGAGCAGTCACGTCTCTCTCCGCCGGTCTAACTAATGTGCCACAACTTCTGCGGTCTATGGGCAGTTTCAAATTGGCAGCGGGCACTGGAAAATGAAAAAACGCATCTGCGCATGCGTCAGCCGAAGGGAAACACACGCTATTGAAATCTGTGGGATGAAGACTTCTGCTCAGCGTCAGAGAAGAAGCTTCTAACCTCATCATTATCATTTGAACATAGATAACATGTTTATTTAGAGTTCCTTTCTGTGGGTGAACCTATGTCTTCTGCTCCAGCTCTGGTCGCGTCCCGCCTTCAGCCGTGCAGATGCTGCGGAGAAGCCGGTGTGGAGCGGCTGGTTCTCCTGCGTCCGCGGCGGCGACGACTACCTTCGCTCTCTGCCCCCAGACTTCGTGGGGCTGCCGCTCTTCTGCAGCTCCGGGGCAGAGTCTCTCACCGCCACGGTCAAGGCCTGGTTCAGCCGTCACTTTGACTGCTCGTTCGGCGCGCTGCCCTTGGACCAGGACACACTGCAGTGGGTGGCGGCGCTCTGGGCAAACTGCCACCTAGAGGCCGATCTGCGCCACCTCACCCTGCTCTGGGAGATCCCTGTGAGCCCGCCGCTGAAGGTGACTGCTAAGAACTGGTCTCTCTCTGGTCTCTACCTGGTCACTTTCTCCGGTGTCTCTCTCTCGTTGCTTTTTCTCGTCTCTCGTAGTCTCTGTCTCTGGTCTCTTTTTCTCTTGTTTCTGGTCTCTCTCCCTGGTCTCACTCTCTGGTCTCTCTTTCTGGTTTATGGTCTCTCTCTCTCTCTCTGATTTTATTGAACGACAATTATTCATGAAACTGCAAAGTTAGGTACCCCAGCTTTAACTTAGCAGCATGACCGAAGTCAGTGTGTGGCGATAAATAACTGTCTGATGATCCGTTGATTTATGTTAAAGGGAAAAGGCTACAGTCTTATCGATTCACATCTGACTTTTAAAACTCATGCTGAAAAGATGTTTAAAACAATCAAATTTAATCTTTCAACTTTTAGATCAATCAGATATGAAATGTCAACTGAGGCCCCAAAACTTTTTCTAGACTCAATGATTTTTATTAATTTTAATTATTGCTTAACAAGCAGGAGTCAAGCTATTCAGACTACTTTAAGACCACTTGAAATCTTATATAAAAAGACAAAATGTTACCATCACTGTTTAATTTTGGAAAAGTACTTGGTTGGACAGATCTTACAAAATTTACAAAGCGATAATTAGGCTCCTGCCCCACTCGCGGGTCTAATAAGTCAAAGGAACAGTAGTGAGATGCAGCTATGTGATCCCTCTGCATAGAGCATCTTTACTCTTCCTGGTCCGTTAGAGGCACCAGAGAGTGGAACTCACTGCCACAGCCTGTTAAACAGCAGAGCACGTACAGGGCTTTAACACAGCACCTGAAGAAATGGATGGTAAACACACCTGCTCTCATTAACGGATGTACTATATGTTGAAGTCTTGTAAATAGTGTTTTCTTGAATGAATGTTGTCTAATGTGTCAACACTATGTTAGTCTTGATTGATGTTGTCTCTGTCTTGTATTTTTGTGGTGTTAATGTTAATGTGTTAATGGCTTTTTCACACCACGGCCAGGGGCCTACAGATGACAAATAGCCTCCTTGACTAATTCTGGCTTTTTTTTAACTCGTGTTTAATCAATGTGTTTATGAAATTGTATTGTCCCCTTCGAAATGAACTAAACTGAAACTGAAACCACTACAAACCTGTATTTTGACTTCTTCTCGCGTCTCTGTTCCAGGTCTCGTACGCCGTGGAGCCGCTGGATGCCTGGACCCTGTGGAGCGGCGTGAGGCGGGCTCCCAGTGCGGTGGAGGAGGGGGTGATTGGCGTGGGGGAGGTGGAGGAGTTCGTGCAGGAGCTGAAGAGGCACTTTCACAGACACTTCAGGCTCCAGCTGTCGGCCGGGAACCTCACTCAGGTGTCCTCAGGGCTGGGAGCCGCCAAGAGCAGCGGGAGGGTCAAGGTCAGGACCCAGACTTTGATGTTCATGTTTGTACGGAGCAGAAGTCAGACAGCAGTCCTCACTAAGGGACTTCATGAATTAGGCTCTGTTGATGTGACATCACAACGTCCCAGTGTCAGTACTTTCAGTGTGGTGGAGGAGAGGTGAAAAATATGTACTGGTAACTGTGTCAAAAGTAAAGATTCTACTCTGAGAGCAGAGACCAGAGAAAGTACATCAATTAATGATCTGGGAATAAATGTGGAAATGTTCTTCTTCTTTCCCATAGCGTTGCATTGTCACCTACAGAAATACTATTGGACATGACCCTATTCAGTCACTGTAATTGTATATGTAATACCATTTTAAGAATGTGTAATTGTAAATAAATGTAATTCAAACTGGTTTAATGTTGTGTTTCAGATCAGCAGCAGCCGGTACCTGGTCTCCACGCTCTCGCTCCTCACAGAATGCGCTCTGCTCAAGATGCCGATCTGAACCAAAGACTTTTAAATATTTCAGCTTCACTTTCAATTCAACATTATGAGTTTGTGCTGAAGACACTTGTAAATAAGGTATATTTGTAAATAAAAAGCTTTCTTTTGTAAATACAAGTGATAAAGGTAATTTTAGCAACCAGGTCCCACAGAATAAAATAGTAATTTTGTTCAAATTATTTCTGGTTTGGGTTGCTAGATCGGAGCTGAGTCAATATTAAACATGCTGTGAGTAAAATTCTTACAAATATGTAATCTTTATTAGCATGTGTGCATTATTTCTCAAGCTGTATACAACATTTTCCACCAGCTCTATTTGAGCCTAATCTACTCCGATTGGGAGGGTTTCCACTGGCCCAGTTTAACCAGTACCAGGTCCTTCTTTAGTCCCTCTTGGTCCTGAGCTGGTACTAAAGTGTCTGAGTGATTGTCCAGAGTGCTGCTGGAAGACATGATTATCCCGGAATACTGGTTTGTTGTGGGTGGGTTGCTAGGATACATTACAATATACTAAAGTGTAATCAAAACAATCGGGTAGAGTAGGGCCAAGTGGGTCTAGTGGAAATGAGGCTTATACGTACATCAGAAGATTTTTGGCTATTTTGAATCTGAATGCATCTCAACTCATTTTCCACAATTCCTTTTATCAAAACAATGAAATAAAATCCATGTTTGACACTTTTTAATGCTACACCACAGTAACAGACTGAAGCTTTATTTAGCAAAAAATGGCACCAAGAAAAACAAAACATTAAGACAATAGAAAGGTGTGTTGTACAGTAGTAGCTTCTGTCCATTGCTTTGTATTAAAAATATCACAATTCCAAAGGATAGATTTGTATATTCAGACCAGTATGGAGTATTAATGTGTACTATGAGCAAGCTAAATTGTTTGAAAAAGTAGCATACCTCAGCTTTAAGATCAAAGAGATTTTTCACATGTTTGGGTTGTGTCCTTTTTCTGTCTGACAAACAAACTGCTTGTTCCAATGTCATTCCTCGTCTAAAATGAACAAACTATCCTTTCCAAATATTTACATAAATCTTCTCATATTTTCATATTTACAATGTTATAACAACCGTCGTTTTGAAATGGCGCCCAAAACTTTCAAAGAAATTCACATACTGCATTTGCCAACATTCATTCTCCCAACATTTAACTTATACTTTTGGCAAATTTAACCATAAAACTCATGAGTATCAGTGGTCAAGTCGGATCACAGAGAGAGAGGGTTCGTTGTACATGTGAGTAATATTAGAATATGTGTTCAAGTACTATGGAGTTAAACCAGTGTTAATCAATGTGGGAAGTTTCATGAGAGAAATTCCTGAAGAAGACAGTACATCTTCTTAAACTAAACATTCTTAAGTCTTTGAAACACTTGGAATGGGGCCAGAATTACCCATATTATATTGACTTTTAAAGAGTCAAAATGGCAACAACCTGACTGCTCTTTACGGTGAATTTCATTTTTTATAAATAGAAGAATCTACAGTGTTTTTGTGCGGATATTGTTTAACACCATAACAATATTAGTAGGAGGTTGGTAGGTTTGAGAGACACTGGTTTAAGAGGTAACATGATAAAGTGACAGGAGAGGATTTCACAGTTGTTTTTAAGACGCGATCCCCAAGAAAAATCCACCGACGAATCCACTGGACAAGACGATGTTTCTCTTGATAAAGTCAGTCGCCTGGAAACATGGGGCACAACAGTTTAAAACAGAAATATGGTGAAGAAGTGGAGTGGAGAAGGAACGGGAGAGGGAAGGAGAAGAAAGAACAGAGGATAGGGGAGGAAGAAGAGTGGGGAGTGGAGAAGGAGGAGAGATAGGTACTGATAAATACCTTTACCTCCTCTATGAACGTGCTGATCTCCGGAGCTGCCTTGTCGGCCCGTTTCTTCAGATGCTTCTTGGCTTTGTTCACGTCCTTCTCCACCTTTTTCCAGTCGATCTGAACGTAGCCGGTGTGGTTGGCGATCTGCAGAGGAGAGGGAAAGTGCTTCTTCAGCTTATCTGCGTCTTTACTGCTCTAAAAGGCGGCTGTTAAGTAACTTTATTATGGTGCGTTGATAAGATCTGGGTCAAATACCATAATAAGAGAGCGATAATTAAGCAAGAATATTGACAATGCTAATATAGCCCAGAATGGTGAGCGCGACAAAAAAAAAACGGTAACTGAACTACAAATGTTTTCTTTTACATGTAAGTCAATAACAGCAAAGACTGTTCATGAACACTTCACTGTTGGGCCTCATTGAGCTGCTTGAGGATTAGCATTGTCCATTTGTATACAGTCTATGTTAGCATTGTCCATTTGTATACAGTCTATGTTAGCATTGTCCATCTGTATACAGTCTGTGTTAGCATTGTCCATCTGTATACAGTCTGTGTTAGCATTGTCCATTTGTACAGTCTGTGTTAGCATTGTCCATTTGTATAGTCTGTGTTAGCATTGTCCATTTGTATACAGTCTATGTTAGCATTGTCCATCTGTATACAGTCTGTGTTAGCATTTTCCATTTGTATAGTCTATGTATACTGTTTTGAGAGCGATAAACTAGAGCAATTACTTTAGAAAATAATTCTCTCATTTGAGGTTTGAATGTTAAGTACCCCAGCTTTAAAAATATCACTAAGCACGTACTTGTAACAGGAGGAATCCTCCGCCCACAGCTGTCGCAGCGATCTTCCCCACTCTCTGGAACAAGTAACCTGCACACCTAAAAGATCAAGGAAAAAAGGACATGACAGATAAACATGTTTTGTCTTTTTGTTAAATAACAGTTTCAAAATATTAAAGTAAAATGTATAAAATCAACATGCCATGTTTAATACAAATTAAACTCTGGGTTAATAAAGGACAAAGAAAAACACTTTAACCTAGGTTTAAAAATGATGTAATAATAATAACAAACAATACACGCTGTTTGCAATGACCACACTGTGTGTGGACTGAACATGCGCACAACCTTTTTTTATAAATCAATCCGCGGATTACGTGTGAGATAAGTAAGATATGTATCTGAACGGATCATAGATCAATAATGATCCGTTGCAACACTAGCTGTGCATACAACAGTCTGTACCTTCACTCTGTTTAAAGGAGTAATAGGTTAAAGTCTTACAAAAATCTTAAGTTTCCACAAACGCAGACAAATCCAGCTGGGACCGTAATAGCTGAATAGACATGAGGTTTGTCAAATACAAATCTATAACCAACATCTTTTCCACTAAGACATTCCCGATAGAAATCCTTGTTTTATTTCTTGTTTTGTCATTAATGATTTGAGATTCATAACGAGACCTTTTTTAGTACTGCTGCCTGACATGTTACTTTACCGGTAAGATTAGCTCGATGTGGTGAATTCTGGCAACCCGCATCACGGATTTTCTGATTGGAGAACGGGGCATTGAAATGAAAACAATAACAAGATTTAGGGGTTGTAAATACAATTTTGAAATTCAAGTATCTTGGCTGAACTACTGTTATCAGTTAATGAAGTATTCAAAAAGAGCATGTTTTATTAATGCATTTTGACATACTAGGGGCATTTAATGACGACTTGACAAATTTTTTTACATATTTCTACTTTAATGTACTGTGATTGTTTAAGATTGTGTGATTGTTATTTTGTTTTGCTAAGCAATTTGAGTTTACTTGTGTTGTGTATGAGCTGTGCCATTTTATTGGGTAAAGTGTGTCTGAAATAAACATCTGGATTGAAAACTGGTTGAGGTGATGATCAGTGACTCTGGTGAGAAGTTGTGGAGCTCACCATCCTGTGACTCCACCCATCACCAACTGTGTAGCGACAGAATGCTTCTCTGCAATGGGACCTGAGCTGCTGCCGAACACTCTGCTCCACCACTGATGTCTGCGAGCGTATTCTGTGAGGTCCACCACCTCATACACCTCCTCCTCACTCTCTCCATCCTCTGCGACATTAACATAGATCAGAGAGAGACCAGACAGACTAGAGAGAGAAGTCTCAAGCGTACATATGAAGCCAGAAAGACAAACCAGCAATAAAACCGGAAAGATATTAGGGAGAGACCAGAGAGAAATCAACGAGAGACCAGATAGAGGCATCAGATGGAGAGACCAAAGAGAGACCAGAGAGAGATATCTTACAGTCAGACCTTAGTTGTCAACAAATGTGAACAGCTTATATAAATTACGAAAAGATTTAGTAATGTATAACTATGCATGCATGTATAGGGGAAAAAAAGTATTTTTTTTTGGTTCTGAAGCTGTTCAAGGTGTTTCAAAAACAGCTCAATTGTGGTTTTAATACAAAACAAGCCGACCTAAATATCACAGCACACAACCAAAATACTGGTGAGGAGTTCCAGAATAACTTTCACATCACTGTTTTTTAAATAGCGTCTCTCTCTGGTCTCTCTCTCCCTTAACAATGAATAATGCATGCTTATTAAACAGGTATAAGCCAATTTAGTAGCAATTAACAGATATAAATGACATCAATCACAAGGTAAGAAACAATAAATAGCCATGTATTTTGATTTCATCAGTGGTTGTCAAGGCATCTGTGTATGTCTTTGTTACGCCCTATTCACGAGCTACGGTGGAACTAGCGTCAAATGTCTACCAAACATAAACAATGACCAAAAAAAGGCAATTGTCTCATTTTTAAAACTGTAGTTAAAACCTGTCTCGTATCACTCCTATATCAGCTGTTTTATAATGTGTCATTTCTGTATTTCATAACAAAAGTAGATGACAAACAAACCACCAACCTTCTCTGTGCTCGACTGACGCCATTTTGGAAAGGTGGGTGACGTCACCAGGATGTTGACAATGGCACTCTGATGGTTTTTTTTTTTTTTTGACTAAACTTTTATCGGTAAGAAATTACAGTCTGTTTTCTTTATTTCGTTAATTTGAATAGTTTTTGAATGAATGATTATAGTAATCCAAGCGTTTCTGTTGCTATGGGCTGACCAGGCTAAACGCTGTCAATGCTGGACCTTGTTGAGAAATAGGTTAGGCCAGAAGTTGCTGGTCTATAAAATATAAAATACTTCTTACATACAAAGTCATAGTGTAATTTAATACAAGTAATTAGCTATTATATTCTTCGGGTTATTGAGTAATCACCCGAAGGGTAATTAAAGGTTATATTATCCCCCCAAAAGATTTTTTTCTTGTAGGCAATCCATTGAAACTTGACAGACAGAGCGCCTAAATCTACCAAATTATCAACGCGGTTTGTCAATGTTAAAGTACTAAAGGTACTTTTAAAGGGGACTCATTGAAAACTTCATAATAAAAATATAGCTGAGGATTGAATTGCAAGTGATTAGTTTTTTAATTTGATATTGCAATTGTTTTTAAGTGCAACTGGTGGAGACCATTATTCATGAAATGCACGTACATTTTATGAAATTATACATTTTTAATGTATGTTTAGCAGTTTTTTTTCAAAAATCTATCTTGAACATAATAATAATAAAGAATTATAACAGTTTTACATTTGGCAAAATAAGAGACAAGTTTAAATTATTTGTTATTAAGCTAAATAATATATATTATATTTATATTATTTGAAATATTTTATACTTATTTAATTCATTATTGTATACGTATGAATAAAATGTGTATATTCTTTATCTAAATATAGATTTGTGCATTTTTAATTTAGTGGCTTTCCATATAAAGGAAACATGGAATATTTCAGTTTGCAACAGATCACACACAAAATACACACAAAGCAAATTCTACCACTTTATCTCAAAGAGAATAAAAATCACAGGTTGGTGTTAAACCATAGTAATGAAAAGAAACGCATCCAAATACGTGGCTTAACACGATTCAAATTAATGGCATTTTTACTACTTTTATTAAAATCAATAGACTTCTAAAACATATTAAATTCATGCTAAAATTGGGGACTACAACTGGAATACAGCGAATATAAATTATACCATAGCAAACAGTGTGTTGCTATGGTAACTAGCACCACCCGTCAAGCACTCGTTTGGGATCGAGATATTTTCATAAAAATAACTACATATAAATATAGAAAAAGTCACAAAGTTATCAAGACCACAAACGTACATGAGTAAATAATTACACTTCCAAAACAAAAAGCTTAAAAATGACTGCCCTGGGAGTTTTCGTGTTAAAACCATAGACTGTAATTAAATATGAAAACATATTCTCGATTCGCTTTTGTGGCTCAAATGTTGAATATTCAGAATAAAGGGCCAGTGGTCATGTGTTGCAGGGTTCGCTTTGTGATTGACCAAAGCCTTAAGCAGAGGGCGGGGGCTTCTCAGCGCGTGGGTTCGCTGGGGTGACACTATTATAACAACTTTATCTCTCGCTCGGGATATGTTTCTCCCTTAAAAACCTTGCACGGATTGGATTTTACGTCACCAAATCTTTTTGCATTCTTCAACACTGGCGTACGATGTGACGAGCTGGACAGTGGATGGATTTTAGCTGCCCTACTACTGCTGCTGCTGCTACTACCACACAGTACTGGCTGCTGCGAGTTCATAGAATTCTATTATTTCGTGTTGTGTTGGAAACTTTGTGCAGATAGCCGGTAGTTCACGAGGATTTTGCACGTCTTTTCGGGCACATTTTTCCATGCAATCGTGCGCCGGTGGTGTGTCCTCAGTGGCCGCTGCTGCCTGCCCTGCCACTGCCGGCGATCGGAGGCTCAGCCCGGGCTTGGTGGCTCCGAGTGCCCCGTGCGCTGTTGGTGGAAGTGATGAGGAGGCGAACAAAATGGCGCCCGGAAAAGCGAGCGAAGCAGAGGAGGACTTTCCGACACTGACAGCCCAGGAGCGCGACACGATAGCCGGGATTGACAGGTCGGCGAGCTCGCTGTGTGCACTTACAAACATGCACATACAAAATCAGACGCTAAATCAGCTTTTGCACGCGTTAAAAGTTGACATTGTTGTCGCTTGTTTTTGCAGCTCGCTCTTTGGATTTCAGAAGCTCCGTGAAGATGGCGCCAGAACTAAGGCCCTATTAATAAAGGTAGCGATTTTAAGTCACATTTCTACCCCCTGAAAGTACAGCGCACACATTGCCGTTTACGTGTACGCCCTTGCAATGCCAAACGGGTTAAAATTACTGTCAAAACAGCCAGCTCACACAGGCTCCATGCATTCATAATAAGGCCGCTTTTTGAGCTGCCCAAGCTAGGTGGCTAGTTAGCTTCTTCCCATCTTTGCACCTGCGACTAGCTACACATGTATCAGTTTAAACTCGTTAAAAAGCACGTATCAGCCGTAATCAATTCGCTGTTACACCCAAAACACTGCTGTAGTATGGCTTTGTTTTGCTTCACGTACCCCTAGTCTGTCTATTCTAGCCTTCAGTTAAATGTATTTGTTCTGTTTGGTACATGGCATTGAGCACAGACTCGTTCAACTAAAGCAAAATGCCTGTGTTATTGTCACTTAAATTAACGAGCAAATTGGAATGAACTTGTATTGTGTCTGGAATGAGTTGTCTTTAGAGCAATAACAAGCAGGCAGTCACTGAAATACAAGGACTGGTGCATGGAAATAAGTCGTCAACATGGCTAGGATTCCTTGTATTCTCAGTAATTAAACAACTTAGCCATTTTTGTGTATTGCACTCGGTCATTATATTAAAAAGCTAGCGTTCAACACACATGGTTACATCATCTATTTGCTATGTTACAGTTTTTAATAATTACACCCCAGATTCTGAATCCAATGCAGTGAGAAATGTTGATTATTTTACATTTCCTTCTATTTGACATTTGCACTGTTCATTAATCTAATCTTTCCCAATTGTTATATGTGTGTGTGTGTGTATGAATAAATAAAATATTTAACTTAAATGTCATTTTAAAAGCAATTTCTTTGCATGTACAATGTAAACGTATGAAATGAATGAGACATAGCTATGCCTGTTGAATGAAGTCTTGCTATTATTCATTTCAAAATATACTTTAAATCTACCGCGGCTTGTGCATTATCAATATACATAATTTCTGTTGAGTTTATCTTAAAATAACCATATATGCTTAATATCCTACGGTTACTCAAGTTTCTACTTTTTAAAATGACGTTGAATGGGCAACTTTGGGTGACAATTAAATGCTTTTTAAACAAGTTGAGCTCACATGACCATCAGCGCTTACCCAAATAAATTGTGGCTGGATTTTCATTTGTTGCTGATATCTTGAATTCTGTCACTCACATACTGTAGTGATTACATGCTTCATTAGTAGTATTAGTATTGTCCTTTTTCCTTATTTTAAATCCCAACTTAGAATCTGAGAAAAGCCAAAAAAAATCCAAATCTGTTTTGTGAATGTGGGAAAGGATGGTTGAACATTTTGGCTCGTCCCTAGCATGACGCTAGGTGGAGTTGGATGCTCAAGATTACAGCTAGCTTTCACTAGGGTTGCACCGTTGCAGAAAGCTAACATTTTGGAGCCATGTTACATAATTTCTCTTTGTTTGTTTGTAAGAGTCAAAACATTTCAATAATTTAGATTTTTGCATATTGTATGTTGCTGGTTTTGGTCTCTTTTATGAAGGCTATCTATTGGTTACTGCTTGTCCTTTTGACATAACACCAGTCTTTTTGTTGCTGGACTTTGGGAAATATTAATTCTAAATCTTTTGTGATATTCTTGACTGCCGCAGTGATTATAATTGCATATATTATTATATTCTTTTGAAAATGTTAATAGTGTTCAATTTATTTTCCAAGAATTTCCAGAGAAGTATTGCTTTAGAACTGACTTTCATTTGAACTGTTGAACTAAAATAAGAATGAGTGCTACTAAAATGTACATAATTAGTTTTTGTAGTTTACGTTGTAGCTATACGTTTTACTGATATAACATGGCAAGGCTGGAGTACTTAACTTTTCTTCATGAATAAAGAAGAGTTTGTCCAATAGAAGGGGTTCTCCCTGTTGATTAGAAAACATAACTTTGGTGCAAGAGCCCTGCACAAATATATTTAATATCTTTGGGCTGAGAGCTGATTGGCTGAGGGAGGTTCTGTTTTTTTAATTTTCCCTCTAAAAAGCTGATCTAAGTAAATATTATGTGACAGAGGCCAAGAAATGCATGAAAACTAGCGATAGAAGCTAGGGATGTACCGATCCGATATTCAGTATCGGTATCGGGGGCCGATATGGGTATTTTGTAAGGATCGGATATTATCGGATTTGTTAAATATCGGGGAGTTTACATTTACAGAGTTCTCACACTGGTTAAGTACTGGCTTTTTGTGGTCATTCAGTTATGTACCAGCTCTTTTCCTTTTGTTATACTGAATGTTGTGGGCAGATTTTTGATAAATGTTCCTCTTTGATATTTCTTTTATATCAAGTTTATTTTAAAGGTGAAATATTCAATATTGATGTGATTCTTACCTATGACCTAACTCAGTAGGTCTGTTAAGCAAAAGCCAAACAATATTTTTGATCATGTTAAAATTAAAATGTTTTTATTTTAATTTTAACATGATCAAAAATAAAGTAATACTGGTTTAAAAATGTTTTAATGCTTTGAAAATATTAGAAAAAATTTGGATCGGTATTGGCAAAACAATATTTAAGAATATTGGGATTGGATCACAAAAAATCTGGATCGGTACATCCCTAATAGAAGCAACTGTTTTAGAGCGAGGAACTAGAAGGGATGGTTTGGAAGCACAGTACCCCAGCTTTAAAGGCGCTATACCCGTTTCTGCAATGTTTGAATGTTTAGCACCGCCCCCCAACTCGCTCACAGGCTTCTCATTTCCCCTACGCTCTCATAACACGGAGCCACCATGGATCTATTATATTAACTGGACAGGGTATTACTAGCTTGTAGCTGAATAACTCATGTGCTCGGGGGATTCTCGCGGTACTGCAGACTAGACCAGACTAAATTCACGTGGGCAACCCACAAATTTTCCCCATAGAACTCAATGCATATTAAAACAGCTCAACCTCAGCTGACAGAGAACCTACAGCTTTCATAAAGGTCGGATTTTGTGGGGATTTTAGTGTCCCTTGTCATCCTGAACTTTTTTTCTTCTTAAATCCTTTGGTTTTGTTTAAATCCACACTTTAGTGCCACAAACTCTGCTCGTCTAGCTCTCGCTCTAACTCCCGCTCTGATGAACTGCTCTGATTGGTCAGAGCGCGACCGAGCCCCTCTGTGCACGTGCGTGAGACCCGGTGTGAGACCTGGCGCAACGCATTATGGGAGATCATCCACTGCGCAGAACCGGGAGGACCAGACTATGCCCAAATACAGGCGAGTTTCCCATAGATCTTTGCGAGTTCCAGGCGACTTCCGCTAATCTTTCAGCCCCCATGCCGTCACAAGGCGCCACTGAGCACAACCATTCATTTGAATAGGACGCCATCTTGGATCGCCGGGGCTTGGGAGCCACCTAGTTTTATTTGCGATCTGATACGTATGCTAACATTAGCATTAACTTGTAAGCTGTGCAACAATCACTGATGAAATGGCACTAAAGCAATGCACTGCTAACACAATATATAAGTAAAAGAATACCATTAGTTTCGCGTCCGACTGTATTAATTTAAACATTAGAATATATTCTAATATTTAATTATAATTTATTATACAGCTCCTCACAGCAGCAGCACTCCATTGACTTGAATGCAATTCTTCCGATCATTTTTTCTTGATAACAGAACTCTCAAACCAATAATGACCGCAGCCCCAATGCAATCTCTGTTTGTAATTCAGGTGTGTAAAATACTGCCATTACTTTGCAAGTACAACAAGCTATCAGCGCCTGTCACTACATCGTGCAGTTTTTCTGCACACTTGTCTGTGTAGAGAAGCTAGCGGAGCTAGCCACGCTCAATAAACAAATACATATCAATCAATCATCACCATTAAACGTCAATCGGACAATACAGTATACAGATAGATCCTTAACACACATGCACGGACGATTTCAGAATTTGCTGTCAACGTTTTCATGACCAAAATACTGTTTTAAAGTGACAAAAAGCGATCGCGAAAAACCCGGAAGATACCATGAAACAACTAGCTAGCTTAGCTGTTACCTGCCTAGCACGTCCCGGTGAAACCTTTGGGAGCTAACTATTTTATTTGCAGTCATTAAATACATTTCTAATTATAAGGGTTGTCTAATATTTGTTCAAATATGTATATATTTTTTAATTTAGAATTATATTCGAATTTTGAAGTCGAAGCCCTGGTGTTAAGCAGCGCTGTAGAGGCTAGAGGACGCAGGCTGGTCGCTTCTTGTTCTGTGAGTGGAGGAGAACAAACGGCCCGCTCAGACTCTACTCAGCACTTTTCACTGCCTGAATTTCATACACAGTGGAATCAATGACCTCAAGTTTTCAATTAAATTATGTATTATAATACAACTTGTATGTAGTAAAAAGCATTTTTATGAACTACTTAGAAAAAAAAATCGGGTATAGCTTCTTTAAATAGTAAAAAGTGATGTTTCTCTATTTAAATGTATGTTTGAGAAAAATAACTTTTAAGACAAACTCCATTCGTTGGACTGTTTTTAAGATGACCTAATCCAGACAAATTACTTAGAAAACCTGACAACAAATAAGATTTATATTGTCCAAAAGACTTAGACAATTTGAGGTTTTTGCGATTTCCCACCCTAGGGTAGCCCTAGGGTTTTTAAATCATAAAGCGAGTAATAGGGCCCCATTTAAGGCCACAAATGCTACTGATAAAAAGAGTATTGCATTTCAGAGATTGTGGCTCAAGCTGGGTGAAATGATTGGATCTTGATATTCGATTTGATTGATAAAACTTGGAGGTTATGATAAAAACATTATTTTTTTTCACAATTTTCTTGTTGGCGGGACAACTCACGGCCATTCTGGATAGCTCCAGTAGAGCACAATTTTTGGCCCATTAGTTTGAACGGCGGAGATAGGCGTGACTACGTCCGTTAAAGGCACACCGTGTAACTCTTGGCCACTAGGGGCGCTAGACCTGCAACTTTCACGTTTAGCGCCCC